CAGAGGCCGATCTTGACACCGCTGGTACCAGTCATCGGCAAGTCCACTCAGCTCCACGTCCTCCTGTACCACATCACTCCATCTCTTCTCTAGCCCGTGCCGCGCCCGCTTAGCCCCCTCAATCCGGCCAAACAAAAGCTGTTTCGGCATGCGGTGGCTGGGCATGCGGGCTACATGACCCAGCCATCGCAGCCTTGCCTGCCGGAGGAGCTCACCGATGGGACCCTGACCAGATCTTTCAAGGATTTGTGAGCTCCTCACACAATCCAGTCTGGTTAAACCCAGGATGGATCGTAGGCAGGTCAGCCTAAATGTTTCTAACCGGCGAAGATGTTCCATTAGGGGGGTCCACGTTTCGCAAGCGTAGAGAAGGGAGGGAATGACCGTGGCCGAGAAGACCTGAAGCTTAGTGCGGAGCGACAGACCAGGTAGCTTCCACACAGCGTTACGCAACCGATGAAAAGATATTGCCGCTTGACTGATTCGGAGTGAGACCTCTGCTGTTAAACTGGAGCCAGTCATAAGCACACTGCCCAGGTATGGGAAACTCTCCACTCTCTCCACAACTGCCCCATCACCGATTGGGAGTTGTGGGGGTGGAGTGTCCGATGGTACAAAATACCCAGGCAGGTGCTTAGTTTTGGTGGGGCTGATGGTAAGGCCCCACCTCTTAGTGGCACGCTCCAGTCTCAGCAGCAGCGTCTGCAACTCCTCCTCTGACTGAGCAGCTATTACCAAGTCATCAGCATACATAACGTGGTTGAGCAATAGGGAGCCATCCCTTGACCGCACCCGGGCATCGATTAGCCTCCCATTATATCTGTACCATATGGAGATTCCCCCGGTACAGCTATTGAAGGCTTCACGAACTACGTGGTCAAAATAGATGTTAAATAATGTGGGAGCCAGAGGACATCCCTGTCGCACCCCAAGGTGTACAGGGAATGGCTCTGACTCCCGGCCACGTAGTTTTACCCGGGCCCGCTCACCATCATGAAGGTCCTTAATGATCGTGAGCAGAGGGTCAGGTACTCCAAAAGCACGAAGAACGACCCAGAGCCCAGGCCTACTGATGGTATCATAGGCCTTGACCAGGTCAATAAAGCAGAGATGTAGGTCTTGTTGGAATTCCCTACACCTCTGCTGTAGCAGACGGACAGAAAATATGGCATCTGTGCAGGACCGCCCTTTCCTGAAACCGCATTGGGGCTCCGCAAGCCTCTCCTCAGCGTGCCTGGCAAGGCGATGCTGAATAATCCTTGCCAGGACCTTTCCCGGCACACTGAGGAGTGAGATGCCCCTGTAGTTGTTACAGTCTGTGCGGTCCCCCTTCTTAAAAAGGGGGACCACCAGGGCATCCTTCCAATCCTGCGGAACCCGTCCAGTGGTCCAGACTGTTGTTATGATGTCATATAGGGCAGTCTGTGCACAAACGCCACCCTCCCTCAGCATTTCGCTTGGGAGATCATCTCTGCCCGCTGCCTTTCCTGGTCTCAGACTCCGGATCGCCTTCAATACTTCCTCAGCAGATGGCACCTCAGCCAGCCACTCACAGGGGGTGACTTCATCCAATATTTGAGGCACCGCAGCCTCAGCAGGGTCATCCTCACTTTGTGCCACGATGTTTTCCTGGCTGTGGGATTTTCCCTCCCCCAGGACCTCACAGAAATGCTCAGCAAATCTGCGAACCTGTTCCTGGGGGTCGGAAATTGGATCACCGTTTTTTCCCCTAATGATGGTAATAGGTATGGCGCTGCAGGTTACTTTTTTGATGGAGTTAAATAGCGATTTGTGATCACGGGCCACTGAGGCAGACTCCATCTCCTCAGCAACCCGCGACCACCACCCATCCTTGCAGCGCCTCACGGCTCTCCGAACCTCCGAGCGAAGGCTGCGGTAAGCCTCCTCATTCTCTGACGTGGGATTCTGTAGCCGATGACAGTGGGCCTGTCGCTTTTTCTCAACCATCCTGAACAACTCCTCTGTCATCCAGGGTGTCTGGGGAGGTCTGGACCGCGTACCCAAAGCAGCCATTGCAGCTGCATGAGTCACAGTCCTAAACCTCGCCCATTTACCCTCGACATCAGGAGGAGTCGGGGACGATGCCAATCCCAGCCGCAAGCGATGATGAAATTCTCGCTTGCAACTTTCATCAGATAACTGAGACCAGGCCACTTTAGGTTGGAATGGGGTCCTGGGTGTACACCCACCACCGGAGTGGAAGAATGGCAGGCGCATCTTACAGATGACTAGTCGATGGTCAGAGGGCAGATCAGCTCCACGGTAGGTCCTGGTGTCAAGGACATGGGCTCGCATTCGCTGGTCCGTCACTATGTAGTCCAGCAGATGTTCTTGCTTGGACCCGGCATGCATCCATGATGTTGTGTGGATGCGCCAATGCCGGAACAGCGTGTTGGTAATTACAAGCCCATGGGCTGCACAAAAATCTAGCAGCCTCCTACCATTGTTATTGAGCTGATCTGGCCCATGCCCTCCAATCACTCCAGACCAGGTGCCAGTATCATGACCTACTCGGGCATTGAAGTCACCCAACATGATGACTCTATCCCGAGGGGCCACTTTAGCCAGCACCTGTGACAGGAGGTCATAGAAGGCATCTGACTCATCGGCTTTGCCTGCATCCCTCCACGGATGTTCATCTTCGGTGGGGGCATAAGTAACCACGACCACCATTCCTCGCCTCCGGTTGATGGGAAGGCGAGCCCAAAGTAGCCTGGGGCTTACAGCTTCCCACACCTCACCGCCACGCTCCCATGCCCCCTTCATTCTTTTGTTCAAAAGAAGACCCACACCCTGTTGTTTGGCAGTCTGCTGCCCCGAGTAGAGGACTGTCCACCCCTCATGGTGGCAGGAGCCAGAGCCGGTCCACCAGACCTCCTGAATGCCGCATAGATCCAGGCGGTACCGGTCCAGCTCCCGACAGAGGAGTGGCAGCCTCTCCTCTGCAGTGAGCGTTCGAACATTCCACGTGGCCACCCGTAGTGGCTTTTCGTTGTTTCTGGAGTAGCCCCGAGGGTAGGTATTCAATCTCCTGGCTCCGCCAATTGGGGTTTGGCCAGGAGACGTCATAGACGCTTGGCCCCCCGGGGCCTCCGGCACAAGCTTAGTTGTTACATATTTCACTTTAATTCGTGGTTTTGTGGTAATTAATTGAAGGTGGAGGGGTTACCAGCCCCTCGCACCCGTCCAGAGCCCCCGTTTAGCCCCTGTGGTGGACACATATGCCATGAGGGGAGGAGCCAATCAAAATTGGAACTCCCCCCACAGCACTGTCCACGACAGAGTTGCCCGTCCGGCACCGCGAGGAGGTAGGGGGTTGTTTTGCCGGACCTCTCACACACACACACACACCCACACACTCTCACACTCTCACACACACTCACACACTCACACACACGCTCACACACACACACTCTCACACACACACACACACACTCTCTCACACACACACACTCTCACACACACTCACACTCACTGAGTCACACACTCACACACACTCACACACACTCACACACTCGCCCTCACCGTCTCCCTCCCCCGCGTCTCTCCCCAGTACATACGAAGCTTCCTCTCACACACACACACACCCACACACTCCCACACACTCCCACAAACTCACACACTCTCACTCTCACACACACACACTCTCACACACCCACACACTCCCACACACTCACACACACACACACTCTCTCACACACACTCTCACACACCCACACACTCCCACACACTCACACACACACACACACACTCTCTCACACACACTCACACACTCTCACACACTCACACACTCTCACACACTCACACTCACACACACTCACACACACTCACACACACACTCACACTCTCACACACACACACTCTCACACACACTCTCACACACACACTCACACACTCTCATACACTCACACACACACACTCACACACACTCACACACTCACACACACACACTCACTCACACACTCAGACACTCTCATACACTCACACACACACACTCACACACACACACTCACACACACACACACTCACTCACACTCACACACTCTCATACACTCACACACACACACTCCCACACACTCCCACACACACTCACACACTCACACACACACACTCGCCCTCACCGTCTCCCTCCCCCGCGTCTCTCCCCAGTACATACGAAGCTGCCTCTCACACACACACACACCCACACACTCCCACACACACACTCACACACACTCACACACATTCACACACACACTCACACACACACACACTCACACACACACACACTCCCACACACTCACACACACACACTCTCTCACACACACTCACACTCACTCACACTCACACACTGACTCTCACACACACACTTACACACACACACTCACACACACTCACACTCTCACACACTGACTCTCACACACACACTTACACACACACTCTCACACACTCACACACACTCACACACACACACACACACTCTCACACACACGCCCTCACCGTCTCCCTCCCCCGCGTCTCTCCCCAGTACATACGAAGCTGCCTCTCACACACACACACACACTCTCGCACTCACCGTCTCCCTCCCCCGCGTCTCTCCCCAGTACATACGAAGCTGCCTCTCACACACACACACACACTCTCACACTCTCACACTCACACACACTCACACACTCACACTCACACACACTCACACACACTCACACACACACTTACACACACTCTCCCACACACTCACACACACACTCACACACACTCACACACACTCACACACACACTCACACACACACACTCACACACACACTCTCACACTCTCACACACACACTCACACACACACACTGACACTCACACACACTCCCACACACACACACTGACACTCACACACACTCTCTCACTCACACACACACACTCACACACACACTCTCACACACACTGACACTCACACACACTCACACACACTCTCGCCCTCACCGTCTCCCTCCCCCGCGTCTCTCCCCAGTACATACGAAGCTGCCTCTCCATCTCCCGCATGCCGCACCTCATGCTCATGACCAAGGACTCCCTCTACAACCAGTTGCCCCGCAACGGCTTCACGGTGCCCTCGTACGCCCGGCGAGTCTCCACCGCCACCGGCGGCACGGCCTCCTCCTCCTCCGTCTCCGCCTCCACCGCCTCCGCCGCCTCCTCCTCCGTCTCCTCCGTCTCCTCGGCGTCGCTCTCCTCCTCCTCGGCGTCGGCGGCCTCCTCCTCCTCCTCCTCCTCCTCCGCGTTGGCGTCCTCGTTGGCGTCCTCCTCCTCCTCGTCGTTGTCGTCGGCGGCGGCCGCGGCCGCGGCCGGCGGCGGAGGAGGAGGAGGAGGAGTCGGTGGAGGAGTCGGTGGAGGAGTCGGTGGAGGAGTCGGTGGCTACATGAACGGCGACGGCGGGGGCGGCGGCGGTGGCCCCAGCAAGCCGCTGTGGTGTGTCACCAGCCTGCTGCGGCTGCGGATTCTCTGCGCCACCTACGTCAACGTCAACATCCGCGACACGGACAAGGTGGTGGTGGTGGTTGGTGGTTGTTGGTGGTGGTGAAGGTGGAGGTGGTGGAGGTGGAGGTGGTGGAAGTGTTGGGGGTGGTGGTGGTGGAGGTGGTGGTGGTGGTGGAAGTGTTGGTGGTGGAGGTGGTGGTGGTGGTGGTGGAGGTGGTGGAGGTGGTGGAGGTGTTGGGGGTGGTGGTGGTGGAGGTGGTGGTGGTGGTGGAAGTGTTGGTGGTGGAGGTGGTGGTGGTGGTGGTGGAGGTGGTGGAGGTGGTGGAGGTGGAGGTGGGTGGTGGTGGTGGTGGATGTGTTGGGGGTGGTGGTGGTGGTGGAGGTGGTGGTGGTGGTAGTAGTGGTGATTATGTTGGAGGTGGTGGTGGTGGTGGTGGTGGAAGTGTTGGAGGTGGTGGTTGTTGGTGGAGGTGGTGGTGGTGGTTGTTGGAGGTGGTGGTTGTTGGAGGTGGTGGGGGTGGTGGTGGTGTTGGGGGCATTTGGTGGAAGTGTTGAGGGTGGTGGTGGTGGTGGAGGTGGTGGTGGTGGTGGTGGTAGAGGTGGAGGTGGTTGTTGGTGGAGGTGGTGGTGTTGGGGGCGTTTGGTGGAAGTGTTGGGGGTGGTGGTGGAGGTGGTGGTGGTGGTGGTGTTGGGGGTGTTTGGTGGAGGTGGTGGTGGTGGGGGTGTTGGGGGTGTTTGGTAGAGGTGGTGGTGGTGGTGGTGGTGTTGGGGGTGTTTGGTGGAGGTGGTGGTGGTGGTGTTGGGGGTGTTTGGTGGAGGTGGTGGTGGTGGTGGTGTTGGGGGTGTTTGGTGGAGGTGGTGGTGGTGGTGTTGGGGGTGTTTGGTGGAGGTGGTGGTGGTGGTGGTGTTGGGGGTGTTTGGTGGAGGTGGTGGTGGTGGTGTTGGGGGTGTTTGGTGGAAGGGTTGGGGGTGGTGGTGGAGGTGGTGGTGGTGTTTGGTGTTTGGTGGAAGTAGTGGAGTGTCTCCCAGTGTCTCCCCTGTGATGATGGTGGTGGTGGAGGTTGTGGTGGGGGTGGTGGTGGTGGAAGTGTTGGTGATGGTGGTGATGGTGTTGTTGGTGGTGGTGTCGGTGGTCGTGTTGGTGGCATTGGTGGTTGTCCGGCAAAAACAACCCCCTTCCTCCTCGTTGTGCCGGACGGCAACGCTGTGATGGGCAGTGCCGTGGGGGGAGGGCCAATTCCGATTGGCCCTTCCCTTCATGGCGTTTGTAACCACCACAGCAGCCGAATGGGCGCTCCGGATGGGTGCGATGGGCTGGTAACCCCTCCACCTCCAATTAACTACCGCTAAACTACGGTGCAAAAAACTTTAATTAAGCTTGTGCCGGAGGCCCCGGGAGGACAGGCGTCTGTGACGTCTCCTGGCCAAACCCCATTTGGCGGAGCCGGGAGACTGAATCTCTACCCTCGGGGCTCCTCCAGAAACAACGAAAAGCCACTTCGTGTGGCCACGTGGAATGTTCGAACGTTCACTGCGGAGGAGAGGCTGCCATTCCTCCGTCGGGAGCTGGACCGGTTCCGCCCGGATCTCTGTGGTATTCAGGAGGTCCGGTGGACTGGATCTGGTTCCTGCCACCATGAGGGGTGGAATGAAGGGGACGTGGGAGCGTGGCGGTGAGGTGTGGGAAGCTGTAAGCCCCAGGCTACTTTGGGCTCGCCTTCCCATCAACCGGAGGCGAGGAGTGGTGGTCGTGGTTGCTTATGCCCCCACCGAAGACGAACATCCTTGGAGGGATGCAGGCAAGGCCGATGAGTCAGATGCCTTCTATGACCTCCTGTCACAGGTGCTGGCTAAAGTGGCCCCTCGGGATAGAGTCATCTTGTTGGGCGACTTCAATGTCCGAGTTGGTCATGATGCTGACACCTGGTCTGGAGTGATTGGAGGGCATGGGCCAGATCAGCTCAATAACAATGGTAGGAGGCTGCTAGATTTTTGTGCAGCCCATGGACTTGTAATTACCAACACGCTGTTCCGGCATCGGCGCATCCACAAAACATCATGGATGCATGCCGGGTCCAAGCAAGAACATCTGCTAGACTACATAGTGACGGACCAGCGGATGCGAGCCCATGTCCTTGACACCAGAACCTACCGTGGAGCTGATCTGCCCTCTGACCATCGACTAGTCATCTGTAAGATGCGCCTGCCATTCTTCCACTCCGGTGGTGGGTGCACACCCAGGACCCCATTCAAACCCTTAGTGGCCTGGTCTCAGCTGATGAAAGTTGCAAGCGAGAATTTCATCATCACTTGCGGCTGGGGTTGGCATCGTCCCCCATTCCTCCAGATGTCGAGGGTTAATGGGCGAGGTTTAGGACTGTGACTCATGCAGCTGCAATGGCTGCTTTGGGTACATGGACCGGACCTCCCCAGAGACCCTGGCTGACAGAGGAGGTGTTCAGGCTGGCTGAAAAAAAGCGACAGGCCCACTCTCATCGGCTACAGAATCCACTTCAGAGAATGAGGAGGCTTACCGCAGCCTTTGCTCAGAGGTTCGGAGAGCCGTAAGGCGCTGCAAGGATGGGTGGTGGTCGCGGGTTGCTGAGGAGATGCAGTCTGCCTCAATGGCCCGCGATCACAAATCGCTCTTTAATTCCATGAAAGTAACCTGCAACGCCACACCTATTACCATCATTAGGGGAAAGAACGGTGATCCAATCTCCGACCCCCAGGAACAGGTTCGCAGATTTGCTGAGCATTTCTGTGAGGTCCTGGGGGAGGGGAAATCCCTCAACCTGGAAAACAACGTGCCTCAAATATTGGAAGAAGAAGTCACCCCCTGTGAGTGGCTGGCTGAGGTGCCATCTCTTGAGGAAGTACTGAGGGTGATCCAGAGTCTAAGACCTGGAAAGGCACCAGGCAGAGATGATCTCCCAAGCGACATCCTGAGGGAGGGTGGCGTTTGTGCACATACTGCCCTACATAACATCATTACAGTCTGGACCACTGGATGGGTTCCACAGGATTGGAAGGATGCCCTGGTGGTCCCCCTTTTTAAGAAGGGGGACCGCACAGACTGTAACAACTACAGGGGCATCTCACTCCTCAGTGTGCCGGGAAAGGTCCTGGCAAGGATTATTCAACATCGCCTTGCTAGGCACGCTGAGGAGAGGCTTGCGGAGCCCCAATGCGGTTTTAGGAAAGGGCTGTCCAGCACAGATGCCATATTTTCTGTCCGTCTGCTATAGAAGAGGTGTAGGGAATTCCAACAAGACCTACATCTCTGCTTTATTGACCTGGTCAAGGCCTATAATACCATCAGTAGGCCTGGGCTCTGGGTTGTTCTTCGTGCTTTCGGAGTCCCTGACCCTCTTCTCACGATCATTAAGGACCTTCATGATGGTGAGCGGGCCCGGGTAAAACTACGTGGCCGGGAGTCAGAGCCATTCCCTGTACACCTTGGGGTGCGACAGGGATGTCCTCTGGCTCCCATATTTTTTGACATCTATTTGGACCACGTAGTTTGTGAAGCCTTCGATGGCTGTACCGGAGGAATTTCCATCTGGTACAGATACAATGGGAGGCTGATCGATGCCCAGGTGCGGTCAAGGGATGGCTCCCTATTGCTCAACCACGTTATGTATGCCGATGATCTGGTGATTGCTGCTCACTCGGAGGAGTTGGAGACGCTGCTGCTGAACCTGGAGCTTGCCAAGTGGGGCCTTTCCATCAGCCCCACCAACACTGAGCACCTGCCTGGGTATTTTGTACCATCGGACACTCCACCCCCACAACTCCCAATCGGTGATGGGGCAGTTGTGGAGAGAGTGTAGAGTTTCCCATACCTGGGCAGTGTGCTCATGACCGGCTTCAGTTTAACAGCAGAGGTCTCACTCCGAAATCAGTCGAGCGGCAATATCTTTTCATCAGTTGCGTAACGCTGTGTGGAAGCTACCTGGTCTGTCGCTCCGCACTAAGCTTCAGGTCTTCTCGACCACGGTCATTCCCTCCCTTCTCTACGCTTGCGAAACGTGGACCCCCCTAATGGAACATCTTCGCCGGTTAGAAACATTTAGGCTGGCCTGCCTACGATCAATCCTGGGTTTAACCAGGCTGGATTGTGTGAGGAGCTCACAAATCCTTGAAAGATCTGGGCAAAGTCCCATCGGTGAGCTCCTCCGGCAGGCAAGGCTGCGATGGCTGGGTCATGTAGCCCGCATGCCCAGCCACCACATGCCGAAACAGCTTTTGTTCGGCCGGATCGAGGGGGCTAAACGGGCGCGGCACGGGCTAGAGAAGAGATGGAGTGACGTGGTACGGGAGGACGTGGAGCTGAGTGGACTTGCCGATGACTGGTACCAGCGGTGTCAAGATCGGCCTCTGTGGAGGAGGCTCGTGAAAGACGCTACTGGGCAGTTGGAGGCAGTCGCCCTCCAACAACAACGGAGGGCGGAGGAGCGACGCTCACAACAACGAGCGGAGCGCCGGGTGGCTAAAGCACAGCAGGTTGGCACAGTAGGGGGCACAGGTGGTGCATCAGCCAGTCATCTCAGTCAGTCGACCCGTGGCACCTGGGTCTGCCCCGTGACCTCCTGCCAGCGGGCGTTCGACACTTCACGTGGTAGCCTCAAGGTGCACGTGGCCTGGCACAAGCGTCGTGGTGATGTCACCGCCACTTAGTGGAGAATGGCGGTTGTTGTTTGTGGTGTTGGTGTTAGGGGTGGTGGTGGAAGTGTTGGTGGTCGAGGTGGTGGGGGTAGTGGTGGTGGTCGAGGTGGTGGGGGTAGTGGTGGCGGTGGAGGTGGTGGGGGTTGTGGTGGGGGTTGTGGTGGTTGAGGCGGTGGTTGCAGTGGTGGTTGCGGTGGTGATGTTTTAGGTGGTTGACGTGGTGGTGGTTGACATGGTGGTGGTGGTTTGTGACGTGGTGGTGGTTGTTGACATGGTGGTGGTGGTTGATGTGGTGGTGGTGGTGGCAGTAGTTGTGGTGGTGGTTTGTGACGTGGTGGTGGTGGTGGTTGTTGACGTGGTGGTGGTGGTGGTGGTTGACGTGGTGGTGGTGGTGGCAGTAGTTGTGGTGGTGGTTTGTGACGTGGTGGTGGTTGTGGTTGTTGACGTGGTGGTGGTGGTTGTGTTGGTTGTGGTTGTAGATCTACGTCAAGACCGGCGTGTTCCACGGAGGGGAGCCTCTGTGTGACAACGTGAACACCCAGCGTGTACCTTGCTCCAACCCCCTGTGAGTGTCACTCACTCACTCACTGTGTCACTCACTGTGTCACTCACTGTGTCACTCACTGTGTGACAACGTGAACACCCAGCGTGTACCTTGCTCCAACCCCCTGTGAGTGTCACTCACTCGCTGTGTCACTCACTCGCTGTGTCACTCACTCACTGTGTGACAACGTGAACACCCAGCGTGTACCTTGCTCCAACCCCCTGTGAGTGTCACTCACTCGCTGTGTCACTCACTGTGTGACAACGTGAACACCCAGCGTGTACCTTGCTCCAACCCCCTGTGAGTGTCACTCACTCGCTGTGTCACTCACTCGCTGTGTCACTCACTGTGTCACTCACTGTGACACTCACTGTGTCACTCTCTGTGTCACTCACTCACTGTGTCACTCGCTGTGTCACTCACTGTGTCACTCACTCACTGTGTGACAACGTGAACACCCAGCGTGTACCTTGCTCCAACCCCCTGTGAGTGTCACTCACTCGCTGTGTCACTCACTGTGTCACTCACTCACTGTGTGACAACGTGAACACCCAGCGTGTACCTTGCTCCAACCCCCTGTGAGTGTCACTCACTCGCTGTGTCACTCACTGTGTCACTCACTCACTGTGTCACTCACTCACTGTGTCACTCACTGTGTGACAACGTGAACACCCAGCGTGTACCTTGCTCCAACCCCCTGTGAGTGTCACTCACTCGCTGTGTCATTCACTGTGTCACTCACTGTGTCACTCACTGTGTCACTCACTCGCTGTGTCACTCACTGTGTCACTCACTGTGTCACTCACTGTGTCACTCGCTGTGTCACTCACTCGCTGTGTCACTCACTCACTGTGTCACTCACTGTGTGACAACGTGAACACCCAGCGTGTACCTTGCTCCAACCCCCTGTGAGTGTCACTCACTCGCTGTGTCACTCACTGTGTCACTCACTGTGTGACAACGTGAACACCCAGCGTGTACCTTGCTCCAACCCCCTGTGAGTGTCACTCACTCGCTGTGTCACTCACTGTGTCACTCACTGTGTGACAACGTGAACACCCAGCGTGTACCTTGCTCCAACCCCCTGTGAGTGTCACTCACTCGCTGTGTCACTCACTCGCTGTGTCACTCGCTGTGTCACTCACTCACTCACTCGCTGTGTCACTCGCTGTGTCACTCACTCACTCACTCGCTGTGTCACTCGCTGTGTCACTCACTCACTGTGTCACTCACTGTGTGACAACGTGAACACCCAGCGTGTACCTTGCTCCAACCCCCTGTGAGTGTCACTCACTCGCTGTGTCACTCACTGTGTGACAACGTGAACACCCAGCGTGTACCTTGCTCCAACCCCCTGTGAGTGTCACTCACTCGCTGTGTCACTCACTGTGTCACTCACTGTGTCACTCACTGTGTCACTCGCTGTGTCACTCACTCGCTGTGTCACTCACTCGCTGTGTCACTCACTCACTGTGTCACTCGCTGTGTCACTCACTCACTCACTGTGTCACTCGCTGTGTCACTCACTGTGTCACTCACTCGCTGTGTCACTCACTGTGTCACTCACTGTGTCACTCACTCACTCACTCGCTGTGTCACTCACTGTGTCACTCACTCACTGTGTGACAACGTGAACACCCAGCGTGTACCTTGCTCCAACCCCCTGTGAGTGTCACTCACTCGCTGTGTCACTCACTGTGTCACTCACTGTGTCACTCACTGTGTGACAACGTGAACACCCAGCGTGTACCTTGCTCCAACCCCCTGTGAGTGTCGCTCACTCGCTGTGTCACTCACTCGCTGTGTCACTCACTGTGTCACTCGCTGTGTCACTCACTGTGTCACTCACTGTGTCACTCACTGTGTGACAACGTGAACACCCAGCGTGTACCTTGCTCCAACCCCCTGTGAGTGTCACTCACTCGCTGTGTCACTCACTGTGTCACTCGCTGTGTCACTCTCTGTGTCACTCACTCACTCGCTGTGTCACTCACTGTGTCACTCGCTGTGTCACTCACTGTGTCACTCGCTGTGTCACTCGCTGTGTCACTCACTCACTCGCTGTGTCACTCACTGTGTCACTCGCTGTGTCACTCTCTGTGTCACTCACTGTGTCACTCACTCGCTGTGTCACTCACTGTGTCACTCACTCACTCGCTGTGACACTCACTGTGTCACTCGCTGTGTCACTCACTGTGTCACTCGCTGTGTCACTCACTCGCTGTGTCACTCACTCGCTGTGTCACTCACTCGCTGTGTCACTCACTCACTGTGTCACTCACTCACTCATTGTGTCACTCACTGTGTCACTCACTGTGTCACTCACTGTGTGACAACGTGAACACCCAGCGTGTACCTTGCTCCAACCCCCTGTGAGTGTCGCTCACTCGCTGTGTCACTCACTGTGTCACTCGCTGTGTCACTCACTCACTCACTCGCTGTGTCACTCACTGTGTCACTCACTGTGTCACTCACTCGCTGTGTCACTCACTGTGTCACTCACTGTGTGACAACGTGAACACCCAGCGTGTACCTTGCTCCAACCCCCTGTGAGTGTCGCTCACTCGCTGTGTCACTCACTGTGTCACTCACTGTGTCACTCACTGTGTCACTCGCTGTGTCACTCACTGTGTCACTCGCTGTGTCACTCACTCGCTGTGTCACTCACTCGCTGTGTCACTCACTGTGTGACAACGTGAACACCCAGCGTGTACCTTGCTCCAACCCCCTGTGAGTGTCACTCACTCGCTGTGTCACTCACTGTGTCACTCACTGTGTCACTCGCTGTGTCACTCACTCGCTGTGTCACTCACTCGCTGTGTCACTCACTCACTGTGTCACTCACTCGCTGTGTCACTCACTGTGTCACTCACTGTGTGACAACGTGAACACCCAGCGTGTACCTTGCTCCAACCCCCTGTGAGTGTCACTCACTCACTGTGTCACTCACTGTGTCACTCACTGTGTCACTCACTGTCACTCGCTGTGTCACTCTCTGTGTCACTCACTGTGTCACTCACTGTGTGACAACGTGAACACCCAGCGTGTACCTTGCTCCAACCCCCTGTGAGTGTCACTCACTCACTGTGTCACTCACTGTGTCACTCACTGTGTCACTCACTGTGTGACAACGTGAACACCCAGCGTGTACCTTGCTCCAACCCCCTGTGAGTGTCGCTCACTCGCTGTGTCACTCACTGTGTCACTCGCTGTGTCACTCACTCACTCACTCGCTGTGTCACTCACTGTGTCACTCACTGTGTCACTCACTCGCTGTGTCACTCACTGTGTCACTCACTGTGTGACAACGTGAACACCCAGCGTGTACCTTGCTCCAACCCTCTGTGAGTGTCGCTCACTCGCTGTATCACTCACTCGCTGTGTCACTCACTGTGTCACTCACTGTGTCACTCACTCGCTGTGTCACTCACTGTGTCACTCACTGTGTGACAACGTGAACACCCAGCGTGTCGCTCACTCGCTGTGTCACTCACTGTGTCACTCGCTGTGTCACTCACTCACTCACTCGCTGTGTCACTCGCTGTCACTCACTGTGTCACTCACTCGCTGTGTCACTCACTGTGTCACTCACTCGCTGTGACACTCACTGTGTCACTCGCTGTGTCACTCTCTGTGTCACTCACTGTGTCACTCACTGTGTGACAACGTGAACACCCAGCGTGTACCTTGCTCCAACCCCCTGTGAGTGTCGCTCACTCGCTGTGTCACTCACTGTGTCACTCACTCGCTGTCACTCACTGTGTCACTCACTCACTGTGTCACTCACTCGCTGTCACTCACTGTGTCACTCACTCACTGTGGCACTCACTGTGTCACTCACTGTGTCACTCGCTGTGTGACAACGTGAACACCCAGCGTGTACCTTGCTCCAACCCCCTGTGAGTGTCACTCACTCGCTGTGTCACTCACTGTGTCACTCACTGTGTCACTCGCTGTGTCACTCACTCACTCACTCGCTGTGTCACTCGCTGTGTCACTCACTGTGTCACTCACTCGCTGTGTCACTCACTGTGTCACTCACTGTGTCACTCGCTGTGTCACTCACTCACTCACTCGCTGTGACACTCACTGTGTCACTCACTGTGTCACTCACTGTATCACTCACTCGCTGTGTCACTCACTGTGTCACTCGCTGTGTCACTCGCTGTGTCACTCACTGTGTCACTCGCTGTGTCACTCACTGTGTCACTCACTGTGTCACTCGCTGTGTCACTCACTGTCACTCGCTGTGTCACTCACTCACTCGCTGTGTCACTCGCTGTGTCACTCGCTGTGTCACTCACTCGCTGTGTAACTCGCTGTCACTCACTCACTGTCACTCGCTGTGTCACTCACTGTGTCACTCGCTGTGTCACTCACTCGCTGTGTCACTCACTCGCTGTGTTACTCACTGTGTCACTCACTGTGTCACTCACTGTGTCACTCACTCACTGTGTCACTCACTGTGTCACTCACTGTGTCACTCGCTGTGTCACTCACTCACTGTGTCACTCACTGTGTCACTCACTGTGTCACTCACTCGCTGTGTCACTCACTCGCTGTGTTACTCACTGTGTCACTCACTGTGTCACTCACTGTGTCACTCACTCACTGTCACTCGCTGTGTCACTCACTGTGTCACTCACTCGCTGTGTCACTCACTGTGTCACTCACTGTGTCACTTACTGTGTCACTCACTCACTGTGTCACTCACTCGCTCTGTCACTCGCTGTGTCACTCACAGTGTCACTCACTCACTGTGTCACTCACTCACTGTCACTCGCTGTGTCACTCACTCACTGTGTCACTCACTGTGTCACTTACTGTGTCACTCACTCACTGTGTCACTCACTGTGTCACTCACTGTGTCACTTACTGTGTCACTCACTCACAGTGTCACTCACTCACTGTGTCACTCACTCACTGTCACTCGCTGTGTCACTCACTCACTGTGCCACTCGCTGTGTCACTCGCTGTGTCACTCACTCGCTGTGTCACTCACTCACTCGCTGTGTCACTCA